TGCAACTTTTTCTTTTATCAATCATGCGTACATGTATGCGTACATGTGCATTTGGCCGAATAATTATTTGGGTTCCTTTTTATTTTCAAGGAAGTTGTATTCTGGTTCTCATATTGTCTTGTTCATCGTTAATGGTCGCCTAGTTCGCGCAGTGTGTGACTAGATCTAGGCTGGAGTCTTGGGCGACTATATTTTGAGAAAGGGTACAGAGTAAGCAAATGGTTCAGTTTCATTCTCTTCTGCTTCCTGAATGGAAAGAGTCTAATAATCGTTAAAAAAGGTATGAGGAGGGGGTAAAATACAGATATCCAAATCCCGGGTATATTTTGTTTGTCGCCTGCTCTGGTAAACCTTAAAATTATATATAACTCCTCAGTGATTAATTTAAGGACCAGTTGTCGAGATATAAAATCGCTCTCTTTATACTTTTTTTTACTATAAACTCCGTAAATTCTTGCTCAAGCTACCCATTTCAAGGTTTTAAACCCCAACGTGTCTAAATTCTTAGGCGCACGGCCTAATTTTCTACAGTTTCCTTTTTGAATTAGAATCATGGCTGCTTGAAATAGATTTTATTCTATGGAGCCTTCTTAAAATGATAGAAAGCAGATCAGCTTTGGCTTGATATACCTTCGTTATCCTGGAATTCATAACTTTGCCTTTATCAGGCATTATAAATTCTATATTTCCTAAATGGCCAAGCAGACTAGCTGGCGTTTAAGGCTCTGCACCCCTGGTAAGAGAGGTCCTGGTTTTGCTGACAACTCAGACTGAGCTTACTCGCATATACAATTGACAAATCTGATCAAATTCCGGTTACATGAAGGTAGATACTTCTTGGATGTAAGAGAGCTTCCTAGAATAAAACTAAATTGCAGTAAACTTATTCGTAGAATAAATTCTTCGAAGTTGGTACCATGACTTCCTAGGGTCTTCCAAAATCGACTATAATTAATTACCATTGGGATAACAAGGCAAGGACCAGATGCCTTCCTTATAAATCAAGTTCTTGTGGGAGAGCAGCCTCTTTAGACAAGCGTTAAATTCATTTGAGTCGGATAATCGTGTTCCTGAGGTGTATGGAGCAAAGAACAGATTTATTGTCTTCCGATATTTCTCCATTCTCGTTAGCTAAGAATGTGCTTGTGAGGATCTTATTAAATAGCATAATACTCTATTTTGAACATATTGCTTCTAAATCCTGACGCTGAATTCGAACATGCTCCTCAATAATGTATCAACTTCTTGTCCAAAGGCAAATTATTTGAAATAAAGTTTAATCAAGATGCAATTCGACACTCGACCTTAGAGTGCTATGACTTATTAGAGAAGGTGTGACCTTCATAAACGCTCCTATGTCGTAATCCAAAGCTTCTACTCGGACTTTGCACTTGAATTAACCTGCTTGTTTCCTCTTATCTGTTTCAAGTTGCTCCAATTTAAGGTTGCGCTTTCCTACATTTGAGGTCCAAGCTTCTCCAAAACAAAGAGCTTTAAATAAGATGTGGTGTGTGATGCTTCAGTTTTTTTAGAAACCACAGTAAGCCAATGTGAGTGTCACTCGTAAACTGGCCTCTGCGGGAGTCAATAGAGCACTATGAAATTCGAACCTTTATATTACAATGATTGTCATGGTTCTTAATGACTAGGCTTGGATTCTGTACTTATTATAATATTACCATTTTGCAGCTCTCTAAAGCAGGCGTACACTATCCTAGATTATCTGCTTGGTCATAGTATTCGTTGTCATCTAACATCATATGTTCTATTTTACAAGGTAATTTCTTTTCTAATTTATCGTTATCATCTCCGTTGCCCATTTGCTTGACTCTTCTTTTGATGCTACGGTTTTGCCAATTTTTTAACTTTTTTGAATAGGGATGCTCATAAATTCATTATGCTGGTATTCGATTTTCCATTTATGTTAAGAATTTTTGTTTGTAAACATTTATGGTAAATCTCCGAACCAGCCAATTTACCTGAATGCCTGCTTCATTACCAAACTCTTAAATTTGATTTGACTCCGCCCAACTTCTCATAGAAGATTATCACTCTAAATCCTCTGCTATCACCATGACCAATGATAATTCTAAATGACCTCTTGGCTTTCATTGCATCCTCTTTTTATTGCTTTCGCAGACCGCCCAAGTGAGCTTGACTTCTTTCCAGATGGCATGCCACTTGGTGAGGGATGGCCCGTGATAGGGTCTTCGGTCTCTGGCGCACCATCTGGGCAGTCTGACACCTCATGGGTGGAGTTCTCTTGCGGCCCTAACGCCTGGGCGGCCAGTGAAGGACGATTTGTCCCCGAGATGAATGGGCCTGCCGGGGTTGTATCTGGAGGCGCCTCATTCTCAGCCTCACCAGCGGCATCATCGCAAAATGGGGCTGGGAGTTTCAGTGATCCGGCTGTCATCAGTTCCGTCCGTGCCTGGCCCGTTGGTCAGTGGCGCCACGTGGCCATCGTGCTTAGTCGAAGTGGCATACTCAAAACGAGCTTGTGTCGACTTTATCTCGACGGGAAATTGGTCAATTCACAACGCGTAAGCAGTTAATTTGGAGGAGGATTGGTAGGTAAAAGGGTTTATTAAATAAGATGGTTCGCCTGAGGATGAATGGACGCAGAGAAGATGCCAAGGCTAAAGTACGAGCCAATATTTTGCTATTTAGACGATAAGGCCAGTGATAGTCTTGACTCGCCTAAAATACTACCTCCATCGGGTTGACATATTATATATTTGCTTAAGTTTTCAGTCGCAAGGTTTTAGTTAAGTCCGGTTGTCAATGAAATGCCTAACTACATTTCGCCCCATGTAAACAACTGGCCTTATTAACATCCTTTGCAATTTCCTCTTTATTCTTGGGCCAACAATTAAGGATAGACACCTTATCAGCTGAATCCATAATCCACCTAATTATTGCTTGTAAAGTAATTGAAGTAAGATCATTTTATCTTCATCTTTATTAGCTAGGACATGGGTCATATAGTTCATTTAGAAAGAAGCAGCCCAATATGGTAAGAAGTTTGAAAATTAGGTATTTACTGAATTTTTCATCTTTTCTACTTCTATGTTTATTTACAGGGACGCTACTTTAAATATCTTGAATAGTCGCCTTTACAAAAACTTCTCTACTTTTGGCATGACTCTGCATTTCGCAGGGAAAGTTGGTTGGAAGGAATTCGTATTGTGGTCTCACCGGAAACCGAAGGAGGATTGTCGTGTAGGGAAGGCTGTTGAATTGTGCGAAAAAGTCCTCGGCTCACCGTCCTGCCACCTCGATGAAACTGTGCTAAGCTTTCGTCTGTACCGCCGTGACAGACTTCATCAAAGCAAGAATCCATACTTGACGAAATGGAGCAAAAATATACTAAACCAAGCGAAGGTGGCCGGCTGCAACTATAGTCGTTTTTTTATACGCCTGACTTGGTGATGTTAATGAAACATCCCATTATTTGGTTGGATACTTCAAGATAACTCCACATCACTGTAAATGAGTGAAGTTAACTTCCCGAACCGGAAATGCGTTCGGTGGCAGCTGTTTCATCGCACGAAACTAGCGTACCATTGCCTAATGCTGAATCATGTTTGGGCCTGTGCTATTGTCTATTGTGTGCATGTAATGCTCATGTCATGAGTAGTATGATAGTCCTGGCTAAAAACGAGGCTAATCCAACCTCCTCTTGCTTAGTGGCTCTTCCTGCATCCACTCTCTCTCTCCCTTTCCTTAAGTCTATCCTATAGCCACAAAAAGTTCCTACTTAGTTTCCTACACTCATTCCTCTTATTCAGGACATTGGCTGTCTTGCTAATTTCCTTAAACTCAATAATCTTACACTTTGACGGAAAGTTCCCGTAACCCGCAAAACGTGTTATGGACCAGTGTCTTGTATTGGCCAAGTGTTCAGCAAGCTCAGATTTTTGGACCCAGAGACCTTTACACGCGGTTTTTTGTTCCCATGGTCTCTTGTGAATAGGTCGGCAGGTCTCCCCCACACAGATTCTACCGCATGAGCACATTACCTTGTAACAGCCTGATCTAGAAAGAGGGTCTGAATATTCTCTAAACGAAAGAACTACTGCAGAAAGTGCTAATTTCTCATTATAAATTGTTTTTATATTCCATTTCCTCATTAGTTCACCCAAATTTTTCGGAAGCTGACAGGAAGACAAAATTAGAAACCGAGTACAATTGTCAAGTTTTCTATCCGGCGCCTGATAGCAAACTTCGTTAACCTCGTTAACTACAATCGATATGTAAATTTCTATTAATCCTAAAGAGTAATTGTTTTGAAACAGTATATGCCTCAATCTACCAATCTCCTGGTCCTGCTCTATTCTTTTTTTTCCCGAGGTCACTTATGCAGTAGGCAAGGTTATCGCTAACTCTACCTTCCCCCAATCTCTGTTCAGTAGATTTTTCTGACATCTTGGTCTTTATATCTTCAGGTTCTTAGTTTATTGGCAAGCCCAGGCATAGATTATCAGCTCTCAGGGATTAAAATGCGCTTAAAGTGACTTTATGATCCTTCTCTTGATGCTGCTATGTTATAATTTTACCATCCTTCGAGTAAACCCTTTAGATATACTCACATCTTGATCATCAAACGGTCTTAGGGCTTGGCTAAAATCTAAATATATGCAAAGAAAAGTTGGGTTTCGAGGAATCTCTTGTTTTATAATTGTTGAGCTTACCTCAATTTCTAGTGAAAGTGACCAGCTGTCGATTGGCTTTACTGGAAGATTTATGCTGACGCTGTTTCCGAGGTAATCTTCTTCGATTCCGATGAAAAAGTGCTAAGCTTTTGCCCATCGTATGACGGACATCATCAGAGCGAGGTAACACCGTCACAACAAAATTCAAGCTAACGAGTCAAGAAAACTTACCGGCAAATTCCTAAAATGTCATATATGTACTCTGCATCTGCCCTCTTTGATCAAGTATAAAGTCGTTTGGTTAGTCAAGGTCATATGTCAACTTCGATGCATGTGAGTGTGTCTGTCTCTGTATTTGTATGTGCCTGTTTGTGTTCGCTTATGCAGTGATGGCTCAAAATAATTAGGACAGCAAAAAGGAACGCATGTTTTTGGTCATTAAGGTTTGATGACCCCTATCTACCTCTTTCTTCATCTAAGTTATAGCCATCACTCCGATTGCGCAAGGTCGGACACGTCTGGTTTTGTTGATGAGCCTAGTTTTTGTTTTCGGTCTCAATTCGAGAGAGAAAAAGTGAGCTAAGAGTACAGAGAATTGAATATCATTAGAATTAAAACAAGAAAAGATTATTGTTAGGAGGATCTTCATTTCGAATGAAAGTGCACCAGATGAGGACGAATGAATCTCGTTGTACTGCAGCCATTTTTGATTTTATACGAAATTCATGTTGACGCAGTCCACCAGACTTCCTTCCTCGTTTCGGGTGAAAACGTGCTGAGCTTTTGTCCATCATATGATGCACATCATCAGAGCTGGGTGCCATTCTTTTAAAAGTTTCACGTTGACACTAAAGCAAGAACACTATCCGGCTCTATCTTACTTATATAGTTTGGTTAATTTTCTTTCATACTGGTTCTGTTATTTTTCCTCGATTTTATGAGTATGTATATTTGTGAGTTTTAGCGTCTATATGCAATACGGTTCCAAGATCAAACTTGTCAAAGGTATAATCTTAGGTTCTGATTCTCAAGACCTAATAACCCAAGAGAAAATCTTTTACCGAGACTTCCTTGGTCCGTAAATAAGTATGGTTGAGATAATGAAATATGAGCTTGTAAGCATGATAATCAAGTCACGAAACCACTTGTTCTAACCTCTCAGTCTAGGGTCATCAACGTTTAACCCTCCAAGGAAAGGCATGACTGGGCTGCGTAATTTGGTACGTCTGGTTTGGTTGATGAGCGTAATCTAGCATGTTGGACGAGTGTGAGTGAAGTTAGAACCATCACCGAGCAGACAAATTGAGTTGTCTTCTTTTTGACGGCGGCTCAACACCCTCTCTCTCTTTCAATCTATAAATCAAGCATAATTTCGTAAGCAAGTATGATTGAGGTAAGATAAAGCTGGATAGTCTTCTTGGCCTAGTTTTAACGAAAGCCTTTTATAATAAGGACCTCCAGCTCTGATGATGTCCATCATTTGATGGACGAAAGCTCAGGACGTTTTCACCCGAAACGAGAGAGGAAGTCTCGTGGACTGCGTCAATATGAATATCGTATAAAAGCCAAACGGCTGCAGTACGAGTTTCATCCGTCCTCATCTGGTGAGATCGACCAACGAATCTCTTCTTCATGCGCTTTCATTCGAAATAAAGGTCCCCTTAACAATGTTATCCCAGGAGATTCATAGAAGCCAACTTTCTTTTCGTATCTACAAGAAAAGACTAGTTGCGTCGCCTCCTTTTTGCAGGCGTCTCAACTCCCTTTCTATCCTTCATTCTATTAATTAAGCACAAATAATTTGTTCTTATCTTCTTGGCGGTATTCTTTACATTCAAGATATTTCCTATTCGGTTTATTTCTATGGCTTCTTTAATTTAACGTTTAGCCCCAAACATAGCATAATAAGCAAAACGACTAGTTCTATGGCTTGTCTCCAATCCTCTCACATTAACAAAATTCTTGGCTGTATTTGATCTATCAAATTAAGACCAGAATAGCCCACAAGCCTATTTTTTCTAGCTTGTATTTTCTACCTTTTACATATTCATTCCAAAGGTCTTAGTCATAACTGACTTGTTGACAGCCTATGTAAATTCTAGAACATTTCATCGGAAACGAATCAAACGTTCAGCAATGCGATTTGAAATGTACAATGTCTAATGTTGACTTTTCTTCGTTTTCGCAACTTGGCATGAGGAAAATAGAGACCTTATTGAACTACTTATTCTGCGTCGCTTTTTATGATAATTTCCATTATCACGCGATTGGTTTGATACATTTCCATTGAAGCAGGTCGTGGGACTAAGTATGCCACATAAATTCTACCTTCACTCCGAATAAATTGCAAAAACGAAGTCAAGCCAATACTATACAACTTAAGTGGACTTTCACGAAACATAAGGCCTCAGCAGCTTGGTCTTTATGTCTACGAAATAAAATATTTACTGCAACTCTCCCAGACCATTCTACTAAATGAATTTAACTTTCTTTATTGATAACTTACTTGGTTAGCGGCGAACAGAGAATTCCATGTTGAGCACATGAATAGCCTTATTTCAATTATCGAACCTCTTTACTCCCTTTTTGGTTGGAGGGAACCATGGAGGGAACCATGTTTGACTGGAGCGTACATTTCTAGGGTGGAGATTTAATAATATTTATATAATTAACTTACCAGTTTCCAGGATAAAATGTTTCTAATGGAATTGATTCAGTTAATGTCTTATAATCACAATTACATAAATCTAATCTGCAAAACCACCTGTACGGCTTGCCTCAGCCTCAATAACTAATTCAATTGAATTTATATTAATAGTTTTCATTTCTCCCTCAATTTAATCAAAAATCCTTTAAAATTTATACTTAGTTTACTGTTATTTTTATTCTCTTGTCATAAATTATAAATCTTTAATTTCTATTTGCACAGCTTAATTATATCGGCACATCAGCATCATCTACAAGTCTATCAGGGTCTGGGGGATACGGTGGCTTCCTGACGTCGATCTCTGCGTTTGTTGGCACTCCGGCTTGCCTCCGGCGACCTGGTAGTTGTCTCCGCTGGCATCAAGGTCCCTTCCATTTAATCGAAGAGAGCCTGGGCCCTGCTCAAGTAGCTGTGATTCACGCACTCGGGCCTTCCTACGTAGGTAGTTTTCAGGCGGTCCCAATCACACCATGTAAGTTATCCCGATTTTATCACCTCAGAATCAAAGAGGAGCATTTTTTGTAAAACCTTTTAGAAGAGAGCATTCGAAAGCTTAACCTCATTTTATTTTCAACCACCAGCTTCCTTGAAAACCAATATTTTTTGTGGCTTGATATCTTATCATTTTGTAAATCGTGGACAAAGAATAGTAAGCGAAAACACCAAAGGGTAAAAGGGCAAAATGGCACCATGGACGTGATTTCATTTAAGTTAAACATATCCTTTCTTCCATAAGACAAGCTCAAGTTAAACTTATGTATTATTTCGATTTAAAGCCCATCAGCATGGGGAGAATGATCTTGTCCATATTCTTAGAGGATTCTCTATCACTATTCGAGAGCATCTCTGAACAGCTAGTCTATAGTGGCACTCATATATATGTTTTGGGCTGTATACAAAACTTTTAAGTTGGTTTACTAACATCCAACAGATGCTTTACATACGCGTAACAATAAGTCTTTTCCGTCACTCTTGTCACCTTTGGAATCTATTTCCGATTATTTTATACCCCTACCTTTACGGATTACCTTTATTGCGGAACTCCTTACTTAAATTCATGCTCGATCATGCTGTTTCACATGATCTTGAATCATTTTGGGGTGCTGATTTTATAGACTAACAAAAGCCTGTAATTTCTATTACCAAAGCAGTCATCAAAAGTGATGTTGATGGAACTAGCTTATTAAAACTATGCTTTTCAATAATCTGGTCCTTTGGAATATGTATATGAGGATCCTCTAGTATTTGTAAGAAAAAAATTATTTTAAGCATTTGTTATTTTGCCACTAGTTATGGTTAGGCTTTCGAGTCCTATTTCGAAATGGCGTTGTCAGCGCATAACTTCGAAGCTTTTGAATGAGACTTGACTATCCTCTCACTTTCTTTAACCTTTTTTTCCCATTTATTATTTCTTTATACCATCTCATCAGGCTGTGATGAAGCACTTCTGCCGTTGGTATCCGAGGAGCGGCTGATGTTCGGCATTTATGCCTCTGCATTGTCCACAATGACTGTATCGCGTATACGTAAAGTCTACAATCAGACTGATGCCAAAGCTATTGCTCGTCAGGTATTAAATTTTTGTCATGAAATTAACCTGCATCTATTAGATTAATAGCTTTTTGGCTTATTTTTGTTGGTTGAAAATATCCTTTGTAATATGCTTTCTTTTCGCACCTTTATTGCTTAGTCTCATTCAAAAATTTTATAAATTTGTGGTGCCCTATTTTAGTACCCCGGCTATATTATTATTAGGCAACCGGTTATCCAGGAAACTTTTACTTTCTATTTGATTTTGGCCCTTCAAGACAGTTAGCAGACAAAATCGTTCTTTAATAGAAAAAGGATTATTGGAGCGCTTTACTGTCTTGCGTTTAACACTATCCATAATCTGCGATTCATATGTGGTTCGTAGTAGGATACATATGTTGAATTTATCAGGCGGTACTGTGCATAAATAATAACTTGGGATTTGTCTTTAATATAGAAAAGGGCTTTTAGTAGATATTATTTGTGTCACCACCACAAGCCTTCTTTTTTTATCTATTCCATAGCCGAGCTATTTCGTGTTATTTTTTGTGCGATAGCTTCGCTTCTACCGTTCTGCATCTAGTCTCATCATCTTTGTATAATTGGCTATTGCTTGGGGTGTCCACACTCGTTGTGTACTAAAAATGCTACCTATTTCAGCTTCAAATTACACCTGAGAATTTATTCTCCCTCTTTATGTTTTCATATCCTAGATTCTGGCAAGGCTGATTTCATTTGTAGACTTGATTTTTAGACTCTGAGTCATTACCCCTGGTAAACTTTGATGAATATGTGAATAAAAGACCATATAAGCCATCGGCAAAAATCTTTATGAAGATCTCCTAGGCCCATTCAGCTTGTCTTTAGGATAGGTTTTGCTAAGCACCTGCTTTATCCCATCTATTTTCTTATTTTTTTAATCAGTTATCAGAAACTAGGTATATCATAAGATGGATCGTTTATCGTACGACTTAGTGAGCAGTGCTAATTATACTAGAGAGAATTAAGTTAAGAGAAGTTTTATTTATATCCCTTTTTATCTGCTTACTATGTTTCCAAAAGAGAATTGGCCGAATTTTCAAGCTCTTTCAGGTATCATTAACATCTCAGGAGGGTTTTTCGCCGCTTATTCGAAGCAATTACGTTCATATCTAGTCCAAATCACTAATACCGTTGAATCACGAGACACACAATTTAAAATAAGACTAGGGAAGAGGACTGTATAATAATAAAGCAGACTCTGATCAACATTCCCTGCACAA